CATGCGAAACGGGCAAGCCACGGCCGGCCCCGAGGAGAACACATCCATCGCCTCCCTCCAGCCCACCTCTGTCTTTCCAAGGCATTGGGTCCTTTGTCTACCTTGGGCACCCGAAGTGGCCCCGAACAAAAGCCGGGTTGAGGCTCATCCCCCCAAGCGTCTCGAGGTCAGCAGAAAATAAAAAACAAAGGGAAGAGTCTGGTTTGTGGCGGCCTGTTTTAAAACAATTGGATGCATCATCCTGCTGTCCGAACTGTATGTTGATCTGAATCAGGATCCAGAAGCTGGAGTGCACCTCCCGGCAAACCACCGCCTCTGCGACAGGAGTGTGGGTGCCGCAGGGAGATGCAAGCCCTGGGCTCCCACCCAGGCAGAGGCCAGGGCAGCAATGGACCCAACTCCTGCCATGGCCTTCACCTTGGTGGAACACCTGCACTCGTGTCCTCAGGCTTATGTCTTTTTTCATTCTAGGCCTTTTTTCTCACTTGCTGCTTCTGTTTCATTACTGCAGTAATCACCAGGTCTCTGCTCAGTATCAGCCGGGAGGCAGCTGCTGGCTGCACCCCATTTCCCCAGCAGCGATGCTGGCAGATCCAGCACAAAGTAGGTGTTGTGTTTGCCTTTACATTACAACATTTTGCTGGAAAAAAATCCCGTGAAAGAGAGTTTTCCTTCAAAACCCAATAAGCCCAAGTAACATCCAGGATATACCCGAGGCACCACGGGGCAACACCAGCCCCGCAGAGCTGCCTGGAGCGAGAGAGCAGATACTTCCGTGGTTAGAACCAAAGGCATCCTTCACGTTTACAAAATGCTTTGCTGTTTTCACCAAGCATCGCTGTTCTGTGGTTTACCCTACCCGAGCTGTGGTCGCCGCGCACGGGTGCCGCGCTCTGAAGGGTTTGCGCTGCCGCCCTTAACAGCCCCTTGAAGTTCATCAAACCCAGCACAGCGACCTGCCGAGCTCAGCGCTTCGACGCGGCTTACGAGCGCCGGGCGCAGGTTTCTCCTCCAAGCCCTCCGCTTCGCCCAGGTGCAGCACGGCCACTTGGATCACACTGCAGGCCGTTACGTATTTGTACAGCATCATTGTAGGATTTAAGTACGGCATTGTAGGGGTTTTTTTCCACTGAAGCATTTAAAATAAAAGCGCTTCTTAAAACACAGCACTGCAGCCATTCGTGCAGGCTTTCGACATTCACTGCCGTGACCTCCCGCAGCTCTTTCCCCTCGGCGACCAAGCCACCTCCAAACCAGAACTGCTTGCAGTTGTTTTTCCCCAACTGTTTATCTTCTCTTTTTGATCATCAGATTTCCAAAGGAAAGCTTCCCAGGGGCGTAGAGAAAACATAACCAGGCTGCAGCTTCTTCCTTTTTGCGTAAGAGCAGCTCTCTTCATTCCAGAAACACCCACCCCTGAACTGGATCAGACGCCCACGTTCAAGGAGCTCCGTTACAGCATACCCAAAACCGCCAAAGGACTGCTGGATTTTGCATCGCTGCATAAATTCAGGTGACTCAAGAGGCCAGAGAAAACATACAATGGCAGGCGTTGTTTGTGTTTGTTGAGGGCTCAGTCACGTTAGCCGAAGGAGCTCGGCCGCTGAGCGAAGGTCCTCCCTCCGCCCCGAGGGTGCTGCACCCAGCCCACCCGCACCCAGTGCCCCTGAAGCCGGGACACACGTGGGCAGAGCCCCGGCCGCCCCCGGGACACACCGGGAGCTCAGCGATGGCGCGACACCAGCTCTCAGCGGGCACCGGCTTTCGCTTGGTGGCATTTAAAAGCTTTCTCTGATTCAGCACGGATCTATCTCCATTATCCAAACTTGTTCCTTACAGCCCACGAGGCACTAAAAGCATCTTCCACCACCCTCTTAATGACGAATAATTAACCACCCGCATCACTCAAGTCAAACCCTGCCACCCCACCCATCCACCCATCCACCCGGGATGGTGATTGCTTCAGGTCCCACCCAGGCCAGCAATCAACCGAAACCTCTATTCCAACTCCCAGAATGCCCAGGACATCCCCTTCCGAAGGCCTCCAGTCATCACTCCTGTCAGGCCTATTTTTGGCTTTTTACTCTTCAGGCTCCCTCTTTTCCCATTTCCCGATCCCCGGTGCAGCGTGGTTAACCGCTCAGGAGCGCCGACACTCAGCAACCTCCACTTCACCATTAAATCCTTCAGTGGAGACTTCCCCGCAGCCGGTGTTTTTACATCACAGGGGAACTGCTGTGTGATGTTCCAGCTCAGTGCTGCCATCTTATTTCCTCTTGGCACAAAGCTGGAATGAAGGCGTATATCCAGAGTTTAAGCAAGCTAGCACATCTGAAATTAGAAACTGTGCTTAATATGCTTAAGCTTTTCAAAAAATTAAATCCACCCCGTAACCAGCTGACAAGGGACACTAGCAACAATGCTTCTCAAGCCCCTGATCCCCAGGGCTGTAGGACGAGCCGCAGTGTCCCACCACTGCCCACCCCCCCCGCAGCCAAGGGTCCCCTGGTCCCACTGTCCCCAAGGGCCGGGGCAGGCTGATGGTGGCACAGCAGGGTTACCCGCCTGCTGCCACCCCCCTCATGCAGAACCACCAGTGCCAGGCAGGCACTATCGGCGCCATCAAAGCCTCTTGGCTCCAACACAACTGCAGTTTTGCATTACATGTGCACGCTTACACAACCGTAACAGATACATAACATCTGCAGGCTGGCATTGAACCCCAGCGAGCACCTCAGCTCATTATGAAAACACTTATACAACCTCAGGAAAACCACAGCTGAAGGATTAGTCATGCTTGCCAGGCACGTGTAAGCCTTGTGTAAGGCAGTTTTGCAACACCTTTTTATGTGGAAGCTATGTAACTACAGTTTATTAGATAGCTAGATTTGGTTAACAGCATGAATAGTTGTTCACATAACTCAAGACACGAACTTTTGTGGATGCAACAGCTTTATTGGAATGAACAAGCGCAGAGAAACTTTTACTTGGAAGTGAGCAGCAACCACGCAGTTCAGTTACCACCCCTCAGGCGCAGGACCAAGTGCAGGGTGGATTCCTTCTGGATGTTGTAGTCAGACAGGGTGCGCCCATCTTCCAGCTGCTTGCCAGCAAAGATCAGCCTCTGCTGATCCGGGGGAATGCCTTCCTTGTCCTGGATCTTGGCCTTGACATTCTCAATGGTGTCACTGGGCTCAACCTCCAGGGTGATGGTCTTGCCCGTCAGGGTCTTCACGAAGATCTGCATTTTTCTCTGGAAGAAGAGAACGCACTGTACGTCAGCGGCTCTCCCTGTCCTCCCCACGGCACCTGCAGCAGGGCCCGGCGGCGGGGGGGTCAACCTCCAGGGTGATGGTCTTGCCCGTCAGGGTCTTCACAAAGATTTGCATGCCACCCCTCAGGCGCAGGACCAAGTGCAGGGTGGATTCCTTCTGGATGTTGTAGTCAGACAGGGTGCGCCCATCTTCCAGCGGCTTGCCAGCAAAGATCAGCCTCTGCTGCTCTGGGGGAATGCCCTCCTTGTCCTGGATCTTGGCCTTGACATTCTCAATGGTGTCACTGGGCTCAACCTCCAGGGTGATGGTCTTGCCCGTCAGGGTCTTCACGAAGATCTGCATTTTTCTCTGGAAGAAGAGAACGCACTGTACGTCAGCGGCTCTCCCTGTCCTCCCCACTGCACCTGCAGCAGGGCCAGGCGGCGGGGGCGCAGCTCGCGCCCCGGCCCCGCTCCGTGCCCTGTGACGTCAGAGTCGAAGAACCGCCCACATCACCGAGGGAGGCGGGGCCAACCGCCCCCTTCCCTTTCCCGCCCGAGGCCCGCGCGCTCGCCACCATCTTGAGGGGC